ACTTTTCACTCATATGGAAACGCAACTACTTGCCGGTGAAGAGCTGCAAATTTTGTCCTATACTCGGCACTCAAGGCCATTGAGCAGGGAGGGATCTTTTTCATATTAAACAGAATGAAACCAAGTCAAAGATGTTCGTATCTTCTTTTTCATTTTAGACTGCAGTTTTTAATGTTATTGTTTCATGGGATATTTAAGAGATATGTCCAATTCTAAGAATTCTATTTAATCATTCATAAGGATGTTTTCATTCCAGAGATCATGAAACATCTTAAGCTTAAGTCAAAATCTTCATGTTGTATTCAAATTTTGTAGAAGGCAAACAGATCAAAATTGAAATATGTTACAATTTTGATTTATACAAATGTTGTTACTTGCAAATTTTCAGATCGATTCAATATTAAATAAACATTTTACAGGCGATTGAGAATTTGACTTAAGTCTAAGTCTGTGTGATGATCCTGGGGCCTGTCGTAGAATAATAACAGACAAAATAGATAAATACGTTTTATGAAAGGAAATTGCATTTATCGTGTTGTTTTAAATATAAGGCATGCTAAATATACCTATGTTTAATTGTTTTTAAGGCTCCTTTATAATATTTGAATAGCTCTCTACTGTAACAATGTTCCCCAAGACATTCATGTATTTGTGGCGAAAAACTTTCTTTTTAAATATTATAATAAAATACATTCAGAATTACTTTTTTTCTTCGTTTTCCTAGCAAAATAAGAATTGTTTAATAAACGATATCCTGATACTTCTGCTTAAAACCCAAGAAATATCTGATTAAGCAAGCAAATACAATTATTTGTGGCATATAATAACAGTCTTGTCCGTACATAAAATAGAACTGGTTAATTTGTAAAGGATATGAAAAAAATATAAATATATCAAATTGTCTTTCTTGACTGTTTATCAGGGAGATATTTTGTAATGACACTAAATCCGAAACTGAAAATAAGATATAAAATAGGGAGAAAACATGAAAATATTTGGTTATCATCTCTCAAGGAAGTAGATAAGATCTAGATGACGACAACTCTCAAAATTGCAATTGAAGCACATTAGCTCTCTCAAAATTACTAAGTCACGTGATAAAGGGTACTCACAATGTATATAAAGGTTTAGTTTGAAATACCGATGGATCTGCTGCCAAAGGAGGTTGTTACCTGTATGTATATGCTGGATCATATATAACTTATTAATAGATTCTCAGTAGTTGTAATAAATATGTATTTTCAGGATTTTAATGTATATTTATACCTCCAAACTAAGAAGCGGGGGTATATAGTAATCGATGGTATCCATCCGTCCGTCCGTCCATATGTCCAGCCCTTTGTTTGTCCGTTCGTTTAGTTGTACTTCCGACCGTCCGTCCGTTAGGCTTTTGTGTATTTATCTTTTTCTTTACCACTGAATGTAATTTAATGCAACTTTCACAGAATCTCTGTTACATAGCGCCATTGTGCACTTTAAAAATGAGGGTACCTTTCTCTTATCCGCAAATACTCCTATGTTACTGAATAAAATTGATACTTCCCCATATACTTTATACCAAGTGCAATTGTGCACCTTCTACTTTACTTTTCCATCTGACACCTTTTTCGGGTCTTCCAAAGCAAAACACTGTCTTTGTCATTATCATTTTATGGAAGGCGAGGGTCGGTATCATTTGGTAAGCTCAGTGCTCATATTATCTCCAGTTTTTACAGGCATTAGTTCGTAAACTCAAAGAATCACACTTGTTAATATCCCGAATACCTGTTTCAATTTTGATGTATACGTATACATATTAAAGATATATTTGAATTTTAGAGACCATGAAAACAATTGCTGTCAAGGATTTTTCTTTGATGATTTTCAAACGAATGAAAAGGTATGTAAAAGATATAAATATGATTACATATATTAGCACACAGGAAACGCAAAGAATTAATATTCTTTTAATATATTAACAAAATCAAATTAAAGTCAAATTACTCTTTGATTACATATTTCAACTAAAAAGAATAATAAAACACATACTCCATCATTTAAAATTATGTTAATTCTACTTTTATTTCAATATTCTAATTTCGTGATCAATAGATGAAAGCATGTTCACTGTTGTTACCTTCTAAGACATTGTGTGTCTTAAATTTATGCTATTAGTTCTTTGAAGTACGAAAGAAATAGATAGCAAAAAAATCATTGTTTGCAAGAAATAATATGAGTATTTTTTAATTTAAAGAATGTCCTTCGGGTTACATCGGCTTTAATTGTTCCATGGCGTGTCGCTATCATGGGTTTGGCAAATACTGTCAAGAACAATGAAACTGTTCGCAGGAGTTGTGTGACGTATCGAAAGGTTGTCTCGGTAATTACTCTTACTAAAATATTAAATTAAGTTAAATATATTCGTATTCTATAATTCAATTATTGTTTTTGTAAGGTATATCTTATATATACTTGGGGATTTAAATATATCAGATTCAGGTTTTTTAAATCTCTACTTCTCTTTCTCATAAGGAAAAAAAAACTGCGGGTATTTAATTTAGAATAAATAGAAAGTGACATAACAAGTGCTTTTGAATGGGAGAATACATCATTTTGATTAGGTTATCAATACACGTAGATATAGGTTTTGAGTTTATTTCATCATCAGTCAATAACTTATACAGCTGTTGTGTTATATATATAGAATGTCATCATAAATCTTGAACCTGTGTTAAGATAAAGTACTTATCTTTGCCATAATATTTTTGCAAGATGAAGTGGATATCTCTTGCATACGTTCGAGGTTAAAATCGTACATATTTGTTTCCTTATTTCCGCGGGATACATAATAGATTTGTCATTGTCTTAGTGCTTCATCGTTTTCACGAATGTTGATGACTGCTCTGTATAATCTGTAGAAATACTTATATTCGCAAGATTAATATTTCACTATCATATCGTACCGTATAGCGTTATCAGGAAAAATGAAAGTTATCATGAATAAAAATTTATTTACACAACCCAAAAGAAAAACACGTCTTTCATCTAAATTCCACTTCATTTTAAACAAAGTACAATCTACTTATATGAATCCTAGTATATTAAGTTAAGTGTCCTCCAAAGTCAAGATGGAAGAGTTAAGAACAGACCTTTTTTTAAGAACTTAACAAAAGGATTGGTGAAACATGCACTTAGAATAAACAAAATACATGTGAAAAAATTTTCCAAAAAAAAAAAAAATAAATAAATAAAACTTGTCAATGTGTAGACTTTTTGCAGACAGAGTAATGTCTTACGTGTTAAAAAATTCCTGTTCAACGATAACAATCAGAAATGCCACGTATGCATGATAAGAAATTTTAAGATTTTATGAAAATTACAGTGACTTAAACACTTTGTTTTCATTTTTTCCCTAATATTAGTAGAAAATTAATTTTATATGGATCCTTATATAAATGAATTTAGAGATTTCTTTTAGGTGTTGTTTCTTTTAGTAGAAATCGCCTCTCCCAATATTGATCGTCACTGGAAGCTCTCAAAGGGTTCAAAGTTTCTGAGGGTTAGCAAGAGATCTGAATTATTTATGACTGCTTAAATCAAAAGACCGAAACGTTCTCATTGCTTTGCGAAGATATGACCTATTTACCATCCTCTGTAAAGAGTTTTAAGGGAAATATTATTGCAAATCTGCATTTGTTTGTTGATTATGTCTTTTCCGAAACTAATGTGACAAAATTTGCATCGGAATCGGTGTCAAATGCTGTCTTGATTGATAAATACGCTCTTTGCAAGGGGATAATCTGGTTTGCGGTGACTTTGTTGTAATGGTTCTACATAAATTATATGAAAAGAATTTACTTCGTTCAACGCAGAAAAGCAGAAAAATTAAATATAAGCATATATAAGCATGCACAATAAGCTTACAGTATGCTTATATGCTAATAGTACAGTGCGTTTTTTATTGCGAACTTAATGAAAAAGATTTAGACTCGATAATCTATTACAAGATAGATATATTAGCATACAAAATCGATTGACAAAAGAAAAAAAATTCTTGTTTGCATTTTATCAACGAAATACCGGCCCCAGTGGAAGAGAGATGTTAAGGCTCTGCGTTCTTCCTGAGACAGATATAATTAAGGACAAAGGCCATCAATAAATCAATGAAGGTTTGAGACTAGAACAATATCACAAAGGGTCGATCATGGAAAGACAATATACATTTACATGTATGTAAGCAATTTCAAATTATAAACACGTGTGTTGTAAAGCAGAATATTACACATATAATAAATATTTAAAGTAAACCACAGTACAGTTGCCTTGACAATGGGAAATTTAGAATTAAGAGTCTTTTTTTTAAAATAATATGTGTCTACATTTTTGGCGCTCTCCATTTCCTTTTAAGATTAATCCGTTTAATTTCCCTTTTCAAATACATTTATCTGACATGTTTCCTTTGATTAATCTAATAAAAAAGTAATAAAATTAGCTATTTTAACAAATAGTTTTGGCCACCATACAATGGAAGCCTTTGGTGTAAAAAGTTTTTTTTGTTTTCACCGTGATACATCTACTTCAGTAAACTGTTTGAAGTAAGTATACCAATATAGTTGGTATTTTGCATTGTAAAAGCTATTTTAAAAACAATGTCAATTATCTTTATATTGTTAATTTCTTTTATTAAAAAAAGCAATTTTAGTAGAAGAGACAAAGGAGGGAACTGCACATTCTCCGGCTATTTTTACGATAAGAGTGCAAATGAATGCAGAGGTGATGAGATGAGACTAATTTTTCTTAGTGTTTAACAAACGTAAATTACAAAAAGACTATTCAATCAAAAAAAAAAAAAAAAAAAAAAAACCAATAAAACAAAAAAAAAAACGTTTAATTATTTTAGATGATTTTTTAGCCCTTGCTGATATTTTAGGAATTTGTTTCATAATGCACACATGTCTTTGTCTGTCGAGACGTGAGAAATAGTAAATTCAAGATGTTATTTCCTTGCCTTTTAGAGTGTCCTCCAGGCTATATGGATCACAATTGCTCCCGAAGGTGTCGTTACCCTGGATTTGGCAAACATTGTCAGGGCAATTGCCTATGTAATACAGAATATTGCTATTTTCGGATGGGCTGCGCAAATTCTATTGGTAAACTTGTTTGAATTTAATTTAAAAGAGTTCACAATTGCACTTAACTATGAGGTCAGCACACGAGTCCCAAGCTATGGTTACAGTGTTCAAAATATTTAAGATGGATAAATTATTCTTAATTAATATAAAAATTAACATCTTCCTTATTCCTTTTGACATCATTAGAGCCGAAGGCTCAAGCTTTTTCTGATCAAAATGTGTAGGTTGTCTTTCGTTCTTGTCATTACCTTATCACATTTGTAGCATCTCCAGAACCACTTTCCAATTTTTAACAATGTAGGGAAAGAGTATTTCGGTAAAGATAATTCAAGTTTGTTCAAATAAAGGGTAAACCCTCTTTGAAGAGAAGGGGCATAATTACGAAGAATAAAATGAGTACCAGGCACGTAGCCACAAGGTGGCCAGGGGGGGGGCTGTCCCCCATCCCCCAATTTTTTCCCCAACATTACTTTTATTATTGGAAATGTTTCTAGTGAAAGTCTGGTTGCCCCCCCCCCCCTCCCCCGCTTTAAACTACCAGATATCAATATAAATGAAAAGTTGAATACAGAGAAATTGGTACTGAAAGAAATTGGCATTTAAAAAAAATTAGCCTTTTACCCCCCCCCCCCCCCCCCCCAAAAAACGTAAAAAAAAAATAAACAAAAACAAAAACGAAAAAGGATCTTTTTTTTTGCTTGTCAATTTTTTCAAATGAATAAAAAAAAATTCTCTGGCTGCCCCCCCCCCTCCTTTCAAAAACGACGCTAAGTGGATGAGTACAAATTTTAAATAGAATTAATTTGAGGAGAAAAATCGTCACAGGAAAAGCAAAGGTATGATTAAACATACGAGTATTAGGATGGGGCCATAATATATGATCTTACTTTTGCACTCAGGTGACGAACATCAAGAACGACCATAGTTACTCATATGAGCATTGTGGCCTATGCGTGGGGTTCTGATCTTATTTCATAATTATTTTAAAATGAATACTTACAATACAATCCATTTGGTAACATGTCTTATTTAATTATGTTTGAGACAATGTATTATACAATTCATAACTCAAAAATATTCAACATTTCCCTTTCAATGTTTAATAAAACTGCATATTACGATTAATATTCTGTATTTCATCTTTGCAGAAAATTCAACACATTACAATGGGAAGAATATTTCATCTCGACCCGGTACTTTTTTCAAAAGTACAAATAAAATAACACTAGTAGCTATCATAGCTTCAGCGTTTCTATTATTTTTAATTTTAACAAAAATTCTTCTCATTCGTCGAAAAACCAAACATACTGCAGCACAAGCAGATTATTCTGCTACCCTTGAAGAGAATGATTTGTATAATGCGGTGGACGAATTCCCTACAGGGGTAGGCTCGCAGAATTGCGCAGTGGAAGATGTTAATCCTACAAATAAAGACCTGCGAAAAATGGACTATAAAAATCCTACAGGATTAGAAAGAAACATTGAGAAAAAGAAAATAGAGATTTTGAAAAAGAAATCTGAAGTTACAAACATAAGGGAGGCAGAAAATGTATATACTCTAACATTTGCGTCTTTTGGAAGTGAGATGATGAGAAATTCGGTTCACGATTATTCCCCACTTCAATACAGCTAGTTATCTTGTGTCCTTGTTAACCTAATTTACATTTTGTAAGTGCTTATCAAAGTATGGATGATATGTTGCATCCCGATTTAACTTGAATGGAAACGTTAAGATAACCACATTGTAAATCTTTGCTTTATTCTGATTTTTTATCTGGAATAGTATACACTTATCCAATGGTTGTGAGTGGGATAGCTCTTTTATCAAACCCGCGACAGGGAACTATTCCCCGAGGGCTTGCCCGAGGGGAATAGTTCCTGTCAAGGGTTTGATAAAAGAGCTATCCCACTCACAACCATCGGATAAATGTTTTATCATACTGATGTATAATACAGTTTTTGAGGTTTGATTTTTTTTGAGTAAGATAATACTACAAGAATAATCTGACATCATGATGACGTCACAACGCTACTGAAGTCATTTTGACATCATCAGTCAATAGATTTATCGCTGGAAATCAAAATTGGTGGCAAAAATTGCATGAAAATTTTCCGAGGGTGGATAGCAAAAACTATACCCCGGGGTATAGCTTTGCTATGCGTGGACTATCAAAGATAGCTATTTTACCTTCTTAACTTTATATAGGAAACATTTTAACAGAAGTATAATAATATGATATATTTTTACATTTAAAACTCACTACTTCGCTGATCAAAAGCATGAAGAAAAGATGCGTATGAGACATTACAGTGCAGGGAACTAATTTTGTTACATTAACCAGCATCAGGATCAGCATAAGTAGGATCAGGATAGAACTAGCATCAGCATCAGCATTAAAAAAAACAGCATTACTTGGATCAGCATCAGCAAGCAAAGGATAGAACTAGCATTGACCAAAGTGAAAACAGATAAAGGAAAGTCATTTAATACAAATTACAAATAAAAATTACCCCAAAAATTATTTTTAATGGCTTAAAATAGCGATGCTGTTTTTGAATTATCCACTACCGGCAGGATAATCCTACTTCCGGTAGCATTACTAGGATTGACCAAGTTTCAAACCAGCATCAGGATAAGGATCAAACCAGGATCAGGATAAGGATAACTAGCATCAAAATCAGCAAGCAAAGGAAGCATCAAAATCAGCAAGCATAGGAAGCACCAAAATCAGCATTGATGCTGTAACAAAATTATTTCCCTGCACTGTATAAAATTCGTTTCATTCATAGTTACATGGTTTTTTTTTTTTCGTGCAGGTAAGAAAAAAAAAGAATGAAAAAAATAATTTGATATAGACCACGAATCATTAAATGTAGGAAAATTAAATAAATGCACACTAATTTACAAAGGTAAGTGTAAGTGGACTGTCTCATGATAACGTCTACAATATGGATTTAATATTCAATTATTGTTGATTTTTTTAGGTCAATACGATGATTTAGACACCTGAGTAGTACAATATTCACTGAGCCCGAGGGGCTATATGATAGCAAACTCCTGCAAGATTGTTTCTTTGCTTTAATTGAAAAATTGAACAAAAAGTTTCAACAAGAACACATTGTAACAGATAAAATGGAACATATCAATAATTATTTATATTGACCTGCAATGATTCCTTATATTTACCTGGAATGTCACGTGCAGGTCAATATATCGTAGTATTTTTCTCACATTGTTGGATCTCATTCAATCAATGAGAAGGAAATTATTCAATCATATAATAATTTAAATCATTTGTGTGGACAGATGTCATTTTTCTTTTATCATATTATGCTTCTAACTATGTGCGATAATATTTATATTGACTATAAATGTATCGTCAAAACTAAAAACAATAAGAAATGAATTAAGAGAGTCATCAGTATAAACACCCTACACACACATTACGGGGAACATATCTACGCTGGCTCAAAATATATTATTATGTGGAGAAAACAAATTTTCATAGAATAATTAGACTGAGTAGTTTTTTTTCTGTTTTGGGTATTGTGGACATCAACGATAGGTTAACATTTTTCCATCTTTTTTGGATATGTTCACCATCTGCACAATATTTCATATTTAATATAATTATATAAATAACAACAGCCGCTACGTTTGAGACTTTGCGAAAAAAACCTACCAAAACAAAGATTCTGCCATACACCTATTCTCAATAATGGACGTTCAAGCAATAATGGTGTATCAAAAGGACGAGAAACAGGGAAAAAATAGTTTAAATTCCTTTCTAGAGGGAAATCAACATTGCTAAAAGTGGATTTTTTTTGTTGCACAAATAAATATTTCAATTTGTAGTTTTGACGTAGACCCTATGTCGCCTTTAAAGTTTGTTTTGAATTCCCATACATTGTATATGGACATGTATGAATACCTTCTTCAATTATGATTTCAACTGCAAGGACGATAAAAGATGCATTTCAAAATGTTTGCTGGACTTACATTGATTGAAATTTCTTAAATAAAGTGATTTATCATTTAAAATGTAACTTTTCTAGCAATCAAAGATGGCTCTCGAAAGTGAGTACCTTTGAAATAGATTGTTATCTTTCAAGGACAAGAAAGACTACTGATGTTACAAATCCAGATCTCGAATTATTAAACTGTGAAAATGAATAATGTAATTCGAGATCTCGAATTACAAATCGAAGGAACAAATAAGTAATATGTGGGATCGGACTGTGAATTTGAGATCTCGAATTAAAATCCGAGGGAACGGATTGTGTAATTCGAATTAATTTTTACTTCTTTTAGAAATCGACGTGTCCCTTCATGGCTTTCTATACAGATCTGCGTTAGATTTAAGGTTTTCAATTTTGTCTTAACAGTATCAAACATGAAGTTTAATAATGTTTCCATCTGAAGCATATGTGCAATGCCGTATTTAAATTAGACATCCATACATGTATCTAAGTAATTTCTACTGTTCTATATTCACTGCTTAATACTGTAAACGTATTACATTTGGCTGTGTATTCATTTTAGCGCTTTTGTCGGAAAGCAACCTTCCGTAATTCAAGTACAACGCTAAATTCCTCGCACATATACCTATAAAGAAGAATCCTAATAATAACATAATAGTTCAGTGTATTGCATTCCGATTACGTCAAACGCTCAGTAATTAAACCAACAGATGCTCGCCATGTTTTACTCTATACTTTGAAAGAGTAAGCATTTCTTAGTGATCAGTCACACTCATCAAGTCTCTTTATTGATCGTGTAAAAGAAATAATAAGTTTAGAACTCATATAAAGGTTTCAAAATTTGATCAGAAAAAAATATAAATCAGCCAAAATATGGATCTCTAAATATGCCGTTTTATAATAATTAAAATAACTAGAAATTGACACAGAGCTCAAGTTTACCTTCTTTTATTTTAAACAGAAAGAGAAGGGAGATAGAGAGAACTTAAACAACCATGTGCTTTACTTGTCATTTTTTGCAAAATACAAATAATATTTTCCCTACTTCCTTACAGCTGTGAAAATTTCCTCTTGGGTCATCATTAGTTAAAATTGCCTCTCGGAAAAATATTCAAACTATTCTGTACAACAAATTTAGTTATTAAATTATGTATAGGCCTAAATCGTTTGCTCATGGAGAGTCTACCGGCATGTTCAGTTCTATAATATAATAATGTATCTTGCATTTATGTTGTTGATCACTGTCAGCTTAAGAGAAGTCGTGGGAACATGTAAAAGGTAAAAACAACTTTTTCAATTCAAATTTGTATATTTTCAAAAGAAGTTGACAGCATTTCTTCTATGCTTGCAGTGTCATGATAAAGAGTTAATAATAATAATTTCAAATTTTAAAGATTTTTATTATGTTATATATTTTTTATGATTGTCGTAAGTTAAACATTACATTTAGATGTAAACGAAACGCTTTCTAAATCCGATGCATTACGCATTGTATCCTTCATCTCCTTTTATCCTCTAAATGACCATTGTAATTGTTTGAGTAGCTTTTTGTATTTTATCAGGCTGAAATAAATAAAATAAAAAGTTGCTTTGTAATACCAACTGTTAAATACCTAAGTAAATTCCATTTTTCTTAATTCAGTAGAGCATCGTTTGGTGGTTGCTGCTCGGGATATATATACAACTTTGACAGGAGTAAATGCGAAGGTAATATTTATGCAAGATACCTACAGATCATATCAGATATCATTTTATAAGGATTGTGGTTAATATTTTAAAATGCAAACAATCATTACTATTGAAATGTCTTCATTGTTTGTCATTGTTTGTCTTGTTCTTTTCCACTAAAGAATCATGAAAAAAGAAAAAAAAATCAAATTATTGAAAACTGTCTTCTCGAAAGCAATAGCCATTGAGAAAATGAAAACATTTTGCAACCTTTTTGGGAAAGTGCATCTTTTTATTTAATCTCCTTTAAGCCTTGGGTTAAGTTTAGTACAAACTAAAATAAAATAATAGTTAATCGGATAACAGATAGATATCTGATATCAAGAAGAAAAAAATCTTCAACAAAAACTTCTTTTAAATGCAGCGAGCTGTTGATTATTCAAAAAAAAAATATGCAGGCCTGATTCGCACGAATTCAATTTTAGAAATCATACCTGTTTTCCTTGCAGGATGGAAAGGGTATGGTTGATAACCCAGGGAACAAATATTTAGTTGCAAAATTTCATAACATAGGATTGCCGTAAATTTGTCTCTTCTTTTCTCTTTCATGAGATAAGAATGCTCCATAGGACTTACTGGACCAAATTGTTCTCTACAATGCCGCTACCCTAGTTATGGCCGCCTTTGTCAACAACAATGTGATTGCACTGAAATATACTGTAACAAGATTGTCGGCTGTGTCAGCATTGAAAAAGGAGGTACATGTTTATATATTTATATAGATACAATTTATCAATTCTTTCTTAAGATCTTTATGATAAAACCTTTGTAATCCCGTTTTTGCATAATTGGAAATCTTGCCTTATATGATATAACTTTGAGACCATTTATACCCTTTAATTGTTAAAATGTTATCTTATCCTGATAGTTGTCCAATCTAGTTTTTGTCTATGAAACCAGCCTTATCTGGAGTTTACAGTCTTTACTGTTTGTTTATGATTGTTCTTTCAACTGTGCAATGATTTGATATGATTTATTTGATCACTTTCGTGCAGATCCCTCCAAACCGATACTCATTGTCTTTGTGGTCATCCTTTCTCTTATCCTTTCGGCAATTTCTGTCAAAAAATTATCGACCGAAGGATTTTTTGCAAAATGGAAAAGGATTATACCGAGGGACACAAATCAAGAAGTTGAGAGAAAAAGCGATGCACATTTTTATATTGAGGTGCAGGACAATAAAAACGAAGAAAGTGCAAATGCAATTGTAGATATATCAGAGGAAGGGAATTACACTGAGCCCACTGCAATGAGCACAGACTATGCAAGCATGTCAAAGGAGTACCAGAGAGTATATACAAGCCTTTAAATGTTGACAATGTGTAAATAATACATACCGATATATCGATAATTCTTTTTCGATGGGAATATTTTTAATATCTTTTTTCAAATCAAAAGGTACAAAGCTATCTAGATTACTTTCTTTTATATGTGTAAAATTAAACTTCACATCATGACTGTTTGGAAAATTGATATTTTTTCTTTGCTTTTCTTTTGTTTTGTTAATTCTCCGCTGCGTACATTGAAATACGTATACATCTTAACTTTACTTTAAATTAAGTGAAAATGATCATTTATTTTATTAGTTTGTGTTTCCTGTTAGTTAAAATTCTGGCAGAAACTTAATTTTTTTTAGTTTTAACAGTATATTGCCCTAAGGCAACTTTTTTACTGACAGGGGGCTGATTTGCAGATTTTTATAGTGTGTCCATTTAATTACTAATCCAATATGTGTACATTATTGACTGAATTACATGTACATAATACAGGTAGTTGTTGCATCCTGCAAAATTCAAATAAGTTCAATCCTGAGTATATAAACACCTGTTTTTCCTTTTAAAAGTCTACTGATTATGTAATGAGTCGTGAAACAAAATTAAATTTAATTTAGGTGGCCACCAATATAGAAACCTAAAATGAATGGTTATAGTAATGTTTATGAAGGACGCAAAACTGTGTTTGTTGGGTAAAAAAAAACACAATTCAAAAACAAATGTATAAGGAAGTGTTAATGAACTACATCTTGGAAACAAGATATAATTATAATTTTTTTTTTGCAATCTCAAAAATTATAGATGTTTAATAAAACAAAGTTGAATTAAAAAAAAACAAACTAATATGTCACTCGTGATTATCAATTACTTTTTTTTTAATTGATGGACAATTCCTGAACGCAATCAAGTTTAAAAAAAATAAAAATACGATACATTTTACTAAAAGCAAGTTTCCCATAAAGAGATTCTGATAAATTAGGTACGGTTTATAAGACTTTCCATTGTGTTTTAAAATGTTTTCTTTTATTATGCATGTAAATGCTAATTGAATAAAAATCTGGTGTTGTTTTTTTTTTTAATTGATCCGGGTTTATTTTAAATTCCCAAACCATAAGAATCAATGTTTATTTTTCCAGTTTAAAAAATGGTGTTTTAAAATATGATGATGTTATCTTTCAAACAGCTTTAAGTCTGGGAATGTTCACTTCTCTAAGATACTTATACCCATCTCTGTTTCAAAATACAGTGATTGCTCTGTCATTAATTTGACTTGTTTGACAATAGACTTCTGAGAAAAAAGCTATTTGTTCTTATTTATTTGACTAGAAGAAATGTTTAAATTTTTTAAAATGCACTGTAAAAAATATAATAAATATTTATTTGGCAAAAGGTAATGCCTAACAATTGAAATGACGACGGGGAAGATATCTGCAAACGTTTAAAATTCAATGCATAAGTAACTGATTTCCTGTAAATGAAAGATATTGAAAGATTCAATGATTTTAAAAACAATTCCCTTAATCAATTTTCACACACGTGGTGGGAAATTTAAGATATTGTGTAAATTTAACAACGACAGAAGTAAAGTGCAAATATGTACAAAGCAGTGAAATCACAAATAGAAGACGATCATTGAATTGAGGATTCAAATAAATAGCTGCTACTCAATATTGCACATAATAATCAATTGACTGCAAAGAATATCCCACGATTCAATTAAATATATTTTATTTTTTGGGAGGATCAAACAATTTTATACTTATACCCATCTCTGTTTCAAAATACAGTGATTGCTCTGTCATTAATTAGACTTGTTTGACAATAGACTTCTGAGAAAAAAGCTATTTGTTCTTATTTATTTGACTAGAAAAAATGTTTAAATTTTTTAAAATGCACTGTAAAAAATATAATAAATATTTATTTGGCAAAAGGTAATGCCTAACAATTAAAATGACGACGGGGAAGATATCTGCAAACGTTTAAAATTCATTGCATAAGTAACTGATTTCCTGTAAATGAAAGATATTGAAAGATTCAATGATTTTAAAAACAATTCCCTTAATCAATTTTCACACACGTGGTGGGAAATTCAAGATATTGTGTAAATTTAACAACGACAGAAGTAAAGTGCAAATATGTACAAAGCAGTGAAATCACAAATAGAAGATGGTCATTGAATTGAGGATTCAAATAAATAGCTGCTACTCAATATTGCACATAATAATCAATTGACTGCAAAGAATATCCCACGATTCAATTAAATATATTTTATTTTTTGGGAGGGTCAAACAATTTTTTGATTTTATGCACTTAAATCAATTGAAGAACAAGGAAAATGCATTAAATATTTATCGCAGTAAAACCATCAGTGTAATGTCCAAATCACTAGAGCTTGATTGATTCCGGCAGCTGTTCAATGACCAACATTTACATGTAGTACGCAAAGCTAGTACGTCTTAAAAATCCTGTTCATGGAACATTATGAAACAAATATTTCATACATTGTTTTATCAAGAAAATACAAACTACAGAAACCTTTCCAATCCTTTTTCACAATGCCAATCTTAAAAGAAATACTTTGTTCACAGTTCCTTGTAAATGTTACTTCATGTAGTTACAAGTTGCAGTGTCATTTAATCATTTGATAATAGCTGATACATATACATGTAACTGCATTGTTACAACGCACTTTGAAAAATTACGCACTTTAAAAAAAATTCTAAGTGTGTTAAATTTGGAACCAAGCTAACGCACTTTGAAAAAATTATTTTTTTTTCCAAGATGCGTTAATATCAACCATATTTACGCACTTTGAAAAAAATGTAAAGATTGATCAATATTCCAACAAATAAACGGTATGATAAAAAGCAGATCCTGGTTTGATAACCTTTCTATGATAAAGTCACTTCAGGACCTGAGACGTTTTAAATATTTGAGGTTTTGATAAAATAAAAGGGAAAAGGGTCTTGAAAAAAAAGAGTGACGATTGTTTAAGATCATTTATTCATTTTTTTTTTAATTCTAGCTAGTCTTTGATAAGTAGTTGTAAAGATGTAAAGGGGGCACTAACAGTGGACAGCTTTAAGCAACTTAGCATTTATCATAATAAAAAAGGGGGGCAATTTGATTGTTCAAAACTATGAAAATTCTTTCTCTCTCATACGTTTTACTGTACTTAAAAACTTCTAGTTTTCATCTGCTTTTATTAACTCATTTAATATTGAAAGTTTTCAAAGTTATTCCAGTTGGTGAAATACATAGTTATATGTGAATGTTTTGAGTAAGCATAGACATCGAGACCGGGCGAAGGGCAGGGGCAGGGGGAAGGCTAAGCCCCCTCCACCTATTTTGGAAAGATATATACATTGTATAAGCATTGAAAATGCAGCTTACCCTTTCTGGGTTTATTGCTTCCCTCCCCCGTTTGCTACCAACACCTATGTATTGAAAAGATAAAGATTTGGACTGAGGGATCTTATATCCGTCTTCTCTTTTCGACGGGAGTACATCAATTTTTTTTTTAGATTAGGGTTAGGGTTAGTTAAGTTAGTGCGTTAAGAGTGTTCATGATAAAATATATTGATGTAGACTCTTAACGCACTTTGAAAATTTTATTCAAAGTGCGTTCGGTTGATCCCAAATTTAACGCACTTTGAAAATTTTTTTCAAAGTGCGTTGATTTTGTCCCAATTTGAACGCACTTTGAAAATTTTTTTCAAAGTGCGTAATTTTTTACAAGTGCATTGCCACACTGCATAGGATATTTTAATACGTCGGTGTATTTAGGAGAAAAAGATTACTTTCTTTATCGTTACGATTGGTTTTGGGGGAAAATTCTAATTTTGGTCAAAACAATATACTTAAGGATGACGTTTACTCAGGTTTCAGAAATCAGAAAGGAAATTTTATAAAGTATAATTTGTTAAATCAAAACTAGTTCTAAATGGATAAAATAACTAAGTTTTAATTCAATATCAATTCAAAAATTTATTACGTTAGTACTTGAAGAAAGTATACAGGAACAACACTCAATGTACGGCTATGCAGAGGAAATTCGGACTAAATTTTTGATTTTTTTTATTTTTGTCAACATTTTTGTTTCTTGTAATATTAATCACAAAGTTAGGGTTACATGTATTTAAAGACATCATTTCGCAAATTTTATATGAGTTTAAGCTCATAAATTATTTCAAATATATGACTACTATGAAATAATTCAATTCAAAAATATGTACAAAAACCAATCCAGACAACATATCTCAATAATTTGATCATTGACCCCATATAATATTAATACCATGAGATTTAAGGTAACAAAAGTAACCTGAGGGTATAAATAATTTAGAGTTCTTATCAGCCAGATTTTTGTAATATTTGATTAAAAATAGGGAAAAATATAAATATGATAGAGGAAATTCGGACTGTAATAATTATCACGTTTTTGACCCAAACTCTTCTCATTTCTTTATATGGAGAAACTCTATTCCATTGCTATATTATTTCATTATTTAAAGAGTTTTGTTGCTTGCAATATTTTGTGAGTGAAAAAAATGGTCATAGTGTGAAAATTGAGGTATTTCTCGAGAAATACTCGGGGGCCTCTAGCATGAAAACGAGGTCATTGACCTAGTTATTTAAAATTGAAATTTAACACAAGAATCATAGGTGTATATTGTGCAATGGTTTTTCGTTCTTATCAAGTGAATTTTTAGTCATCTGAGTAAAGGTATATACCTTAAACATTGAATAGCTCATGCTTGGAAAAAAGACAATAATATTATATTTATTCATACATCTACAAGTAAAGGTTCAATCTTTATTTTTTTTAAATAATGAAAAGGATTATTTTTTTTGAAATTGTAGGGTTAACGAATGAAAAATAAATCTATGCCTAGTAAGTTATTGTTTATTCGTCAAATATAATACGGTAAGGTGTTTAAATAGACGGTTATATTTTTGATAGATCAAGAGCAGACAAAGGTAAGCAGTGCCATCTTTAGACTTATTAGGTTGCAAGTGCTTTCGATCGAAGATTCATTATTGAAATCATTGAGATGATTCCCGTCAGTACGGTATAATTTATGGATTATACATAAACATGTACTTTTATCGAGTTAAACCAAATGAAGTGCTGTATGTTACAAATAAAAAGTTCATACCAAAAAACAGTGTTTATGAATCCCAGGATTTAAATCTACATTTATGCATACAAATTATAGAATACAAATCTCATTGTTTAACCAATTAGTGCTTTTTTTCTGGTTAAAAATACAAAAAATGTTCAAATGTTTATACCTACTTTAATCAAATATTTATGTTAAAATCTAGAATTTTTTTTTTCATTCAGAAACATGTTGCGAATTCATATGATTTTTAAAATGAAGTTGATCGAATGCTAGTTCAAGGATGTACATTTTCAAAGAAAAATTGATTTAAATGATGATATACATGCCATAAAAATCTTGATTTTTATACATGTATACATGTGTAATAGGCGAAAAAGTGTCATTCTCTATGTTAAAAATTATATTCTATACTAAATGTTACTATTATTATGTTTATTTTATAGGCGATTTTATAAACAAAAATAAAATAATGTTGAATCATTGGTGTATGTTTTTCATAAACTTTCATCTCATTTTGATTGCATATGGATTGCTAAAAGCAATTGGAAACCAGTCATCAGTATTATTCTAACGTGTTTCTAGCGTTTATCCTTATCTTACGTCAAACACTAAAATTTATCGCTAATCATATTCCTTGCCTAAACTTTTTCTATATATTTTTTTCTTAACAAGATCAATTCTCATATGTTTTTATTTAACTTTATGCTCACTCCTCTATGGCACCTGGTCCCGTCTCTGATATTTTGGAGGTTCCTGTTTTCTCTGCTCCTATTTTTGTATTGTTTTATGGATTTGTGAACTTGAATACTGTTCATTATCTCCCTATCTTTCATATAATTGAATGGAGATGGCATTTTTGATACATCTTTTCTTAATTTCAACAATTTAGTGATCAAGGAATATGTATTAAAACACATACACGGGTAAAAAGAAATGTACACTCAACTAAATATAAGGGAGATATTTCGGAGGGAAATCTGACCTTATAAACTGACATCAAAAAATTATTTCGGAAATATGTCAATAAAGTTTGTAGCAAACACAAATCTTGCAATATATCAATAATTTGTTTTTATATTTAACAATTGAAGGATGTATTGAATTGCTATTCAATGTATAGACAGAATGGAAACAAGGACATATGTGTCATTTCAGTTTAGGAGCTGTTATTTATTGTTGCTATTATTAGATGATATTAAAGAGCTATGTCCAATTCAAGGAATCGTTCATATTCCTGTTGTCGAATAGGGAAGAATAAGGGAGATACAGCAACTGTATATGAATAGAATATTTATTGAGAAAAGGAACATTATTGAAGTTCAAAGTCAATTAAACCATACAAGATTGGAGCAACAACAAAAAAAAAGGAAATAAAAACAGGCACCTCTGAATATCAGAAATTTGATTAGGTGCCACGGAGAAGTTAGCATCCCCTGCTGACTGATCATAACAGTCATGATCATGAAATAATTTCAAATACATTGCTGCTCTTTTTTCTAACTATAGGGCATGCTAAAACTATTTTTGTTAAATTTTAAAAAAAACTTCCTTTAAAGCTTTTGAATGTTGCTTTAGCTTACTGTATCAAAATATATTTTTCACAAAAAAGCATTTAAAGCTTAAATTTTACAGATTTCGAATCAGCTGTTCTTTAAAATACTTCCAAGTTTCATGTGTCTATGGCAGAATATTGTTAACTTATTAAATGAGATAATAATAACTCAGGTCTTCAAAAATTGTATAAACCATGGTAATCAAAGCTTTCAATTATATAAACTGTGAAAAATAATCAAAGCAATTCGATCCTATTTGGTGAATATGTTTTTACTGAACATTTGATACTTGCATTGTTCGACAGTTAACCAGGTATATACGTACTATTTGACAACGCTTATTATAAGTTATATATAATCAGAATCAGATTTTGTCCCTAGTTTTTCTAGCAGGTCTAATAAAATTGTTAAATGACCAAGATACAATGATATATGATTCATAGTTACTGTCTCGACTGTGTATTGTATAGAAGTTGTTTGTTTCATTTTAGAAGGATTTAAAACGAAAGAATATATTCCATATATATGTAAGGGCAATTCGTATGAACATGAAAATATATCATTATATGACTGGACTCTATTTCAATAGAAATACAAAAGTTAAATAGTAGGATACACCGAGTGTGAATATATCTCTTAAGGAAGTAGAACAGATTAATATAACTCTAAAAGAAACAATTGAATAACACTATATTAAAATGACTTAGTCACGTGAAAAGGCGCACTCACGATGTATATAAGGTTTAATTTGAAAATCAGATATCTCTGAAAGTTACGTGGGGTGTAAACTTGACAATGAATCTACAGATGTATATTATATTTTCTCTAACATTTTTCTATCATATTGGAGCTGTCAAAGGAGGTTGCAACCCGTATGTATTTGTTTATTTATAACATATTTCAGAATGTCATTAGTTATGGCAATAATATATGTATTTTTAGGATTTAAATGTATATTAACACCCCCCCCCCCCGCTTAAAAAACAGTGGGTTATGTAGTGGTGGGGATATCCATCCGTCTGTCCATCAACCAGTCCCTCTGCCGTCCGTCCGGCTTTTGGGTACCAATCCTCTTCTTTACCACTTATGTTACAAAGTTTGCCAATTCCACATTTCTTATTTAACTTATTTCGGGTTCCCATAGCAAAGCATGGGCTACACCATTGTTTCTACAATATTAAGGGGTATCCATCTTTTCACTGCAAGGCCTCTTTTTTAAAAATAAATGATACTTTATTATGCTATTGGGACCACTTATTCTTTTTCATCTGATTCTTAGTTTTTGGTCTCCCTAGCAAAACATGGATTTCTTCTTTAATAATCACATGGGAGGCGATATATCAATTTGCAGGCTTAGTGCTAACTACTGTGACTACTTTACGTTTTAAAAGCAATAGTCTGTGAGCCCAAAGAGTCACAAATGTTACTACTATAATTCCATTTGTTTCAATTTTGATATTTTTATACATTGTAATGAAGATTACTTTAAATTTAGAGACCATGAAAACAATTGCTGTCAAGGATTTTTCTTTGAGAAAATTTCAAATGAATGCAAAGGTATGTAGAAGATAAAAATAGAGTCAAAATATGTTAGCACAAAGGAAACACGATAAAGTTATTTAAAAAAAAAACATACAAAAACGAATTCAAGTTTAATGTCTAGTATTCGGCTATTTGTTTGCATATTTCACAAAAAATACACCTGAATAATTTACCATTTGTTTAATTGCTTACATGTATAACTATATGTTTTATGTACGCTTACTTTAGCATTCTCACTTGATGATAAATTAATGTTAAAAAAAACCTCTTTAATTTTCAAATGTTTTAAATGGACATTATTCAACAGCCTGGGTCTTTTATCTATGCTAGAATCCTCTTTTGAGTTTGCACCGACGAAATAACAAATCTTCTATTCTCATCCTTTACCAGTTTATCTGACTTTATTTCTCTTATATTTTAAGAATGTCATCCGGGGTACATTGGCGTCAACTGTTCCATGGCATGTCGGTATCCTGGGTATGGCAAATATTGTCAGGAACAATGTAACTGTTCACAGGAGTTGTGTGACATATCAACAGGGTGTCTCGGTAACTATTCTTACATAATTTAAACAATGAATGAATATTATTGAATTTTTGTATTTTTGGTATGATATATCTGATAAAATGAACAGCTACTGAATCTCAATTTTCTTTAAATGAAAAGAAATTGACAGATAAAATTAAAATAATACTTTTTTGTTTCAGAGGTTTTATTACAATTCTTTTAAAACAAAACATTGTTTACTTACTAATGGTTTACTTTTCCTTGATACGCATGTAGGTCACAATCTAAAGTCACCAAAAACAGCAAACGAGCTCCAAGAAAATAAATCTTCAGAATCTAGGAAGGGGAACGAAGATTGGAAAACGGCGTCCCATGGCCAGTTAACACCAATTCTCATCGGTATTATAGCTTTCTTGACATTCCTGCTATTCGCTATTGGTGGACGAATGATCTGGAAAAAGGTCCAACAGTCCAACCCCAAGATCGTTCAAAGAACTCTGGAGATTCAAAGTCTTGACAGAAAATTGAATAAAACCAAAGAAAATGAAGAAGCAAAAGAAAACTTTTACGAGGACATTGATGGACTAAAAGCAGGAGAGAGCAGTAAAGACATTTTGTCTTCTGAAAATGATTACATCGACAAGCTGGATTTCGTTGAAAAAGAAAAGTCTGACAATCGAGAATCGAATCATTTTTATGATGCTTTGAAATGACGAAATGCTATCCAAAAATATTTTCAGGAGCATATATCTTATCGTATCGCGTTATAAAAAAAATAGTTATTATGAACAAAAAGTGAATATAGTACAAGAAAAAATTAAAGTCGTGGTTTTCATCTAATTTCCCCTTCAAATTGAAACAAAAATAATATCATCTACTTATACGAATCCTAATACTTTATGCTTAATGTCCTCCAAAATCAGGATGTAAAAGTTAAGATCATACTTTTTAAAGAACTTTACGATAGGATTGGTGTAAATGCACTTAGAAATAAATATAGAGTATGGAGAAATTTCCCCCCTAAAATGAATAAATAAAATTTTAAAATCTTATCAATGTGTACATGTACAGTTTTTCAGACAAAACAATGTTTTATGTGTCATAAAATTCCTGTTCATCGATTACAATGATCTCAAATGCTAAGTATGCATAACGAGAGACTTTAAAATTTTTTGAAAATTAGAAGAAGTTATGAAATATTCATTCATTATTCTTAAAAGGCATGAGTTGCCAAAAAAGCAAATACAGATACAATCATTCATGACACATTTTGTTTTCATTATTTTTTTTACTTATATTACTTGAAAAAGAATTTCTTATGTATCATTATATTAAGAATAATATATCATTTTTTTCCGATTTCATTTAAGTAAAGTGGCAGGTGAAAGGTACCCATTGATATATTTTTTTTTGTGTTGCTTATTAAAATCGAGATCAATATTGGTTTCATAAAATCCTAGAATATACACTGTTCTAGGTTCATGAATGATAAATAGAAATGAAGGAATTCAGAAATATCTTTAAGGTGTGGTTTTTTTCATTGGAAATCGCCTCTCCCAGGATTTGTTGTCACTGGTTCTCCAGTATGACAGATGTTCACGACGAGAAACTTTTGACTTGGCGCAACGTGACCTCTAGCATCCATTGTTAAAATCCTCGCCGCTGAAACATTAATAAGTGGAAATAAGTAATTTAATAAATACGTCAGACTTTGAACATTACCCAAATGTCATAAAAGAATAAATTTCATTTTTTATTATTAACCTTACACATAAAACAATGTTAATCTTTCGAGTCAGCAATAAATTCAAGATCAAAGCAGAAGTCAATTTAAAACAAGTTGTCTGTTTCAAAATCGGGAAAGGAATGCAGATATTCTGACAAATGAAACTATTTTTGCGTTATGAAATAATAGGAATTTCCGTTTCCTGAATAGGAATCCGCAAAATTAACACGAAGTCTCTTCTGATTCAAGTTTGTTCAAATCAACACACCTGACGTTAGATTGTTGGTAGTGTAAAGATGGGGCCTTTATATAGGATGTAACTTTTCAAACTCAGATAACGAACAGAACAACCATAGTTACTCTGATCAGCATTGTGTTTCGTGTATGGGGTTGTTGTTTTATTTTACATTGATTTGAATGAAACATGCAATATGGTCCATTTGATAAGATAATTTATTTTCATTTGGGCTTCGTATTTGAAACCATGCAGCTAATTACTCAAAATAATCAAGATATTACTTTTAATTTCTACTGAAACTGCATATTTCGATAAATAATCTGTATTTCATCTTTTCAGAAAATTCAACTCATTACAATGAGGGAAACTTGTCATCTGGACCTGTTGCTGTTATCGAACATTCAAATATAATAACAATAGTAACTATAATATACTCTTCAAAAAAAGAAACGCATTGTAGAATTTTAGTGACACATTGAACATAAAAATTATTTAGTAAAATGATGCATTGATAAAACAGAAATGTGGTAAGCAACAGGAATACTATCTAAATGTCATAATTACTCAACAATTTTAAAATTATAGTCAGTTTAAGACCATTAAAGATCAATATCTGGTATGCCGCCCGCAGACACAAATGATAGCCACAAACGGCATCTAATGGAAGCATGTGTGTGTAATAAAAACTGTATAGGAATACTCTCCCATTCCAAATGTAGAGCTTTAGTCAGCTGTTGCAGAGTCTGGGGATGCGATTGTCTTTGGCAAATCATGTCAATCCATTTTGTCCAATGCTGCTTAATTTTGATTAAATCTAGCGATTTAGATGACTGAGACTGAAACAGGTTGTTGTTTCTTTGCAAGAATAGGTGCGTCAAACGAGCCATATGTGGCTGTGTATGTGAGATTGCAATACGGCTCTAGGATGCTGCAAAATTGAATGGGTGTGTATAGGTAAAACATGGTTAGAGTACCTTTTTCCACCAAAGTCCATTGAATTCGCACCAAATCAATCTTACTTTCTTATAATACTATTTTCCATATCATTACACTACCACCAACAACTTTTTTAACGTCCTGGAGGCAGTTATCTATCTAACCTTCATTAAAAAGCATTAGCACTCTTAAACTTATAAGAGGCTTTCAGATAAACATTCTGGACTAGTAGATTAACCAAAATGTTCAGCAGTGATGCTGTGGTCATACTCTATTCATCTGAGATCTTTGAAGTCGATATTTCGGGTGTTGTGGGGTCGGAACAATGGCATGAATAATCCTCTAGCAATAATTTGTAGTCAACTTAATACGGTTTTGTTAGATGATCTGTGCAGTTCAGGGATAGCTAATGCTTTAGATGATGTCCTTGCATTACATTCATGCAATTTGCGTAATCTAGGAAGTGATGCTGTGCTGCTGATGTCACACGTAGTCTACCATGTTTCTAGCGAACATTGGGTGTTCGATGTTAATGGTTTATGTTTTATAGGTTAGATATGGTCTATGTGTAAAATTAAAACCTCTTGCAACTGTAGATTGCGGTACCCCTGCTTCCAGTCGCCCATTTTCCTTTTTGTGCCACGCAACATTCAGATGCAGCAATTTTAGGAAGCGTCATTTCTCGGATGAAACCAGATTCAATATATCGAGAACCCCCGCTTTTGATAGCCCCTTTGTACCTGAAGGAATTGCATCGGAATTCAACAAATGAAAATTGAGATTAAAATTTTGGGGAAAATTTTTCAAAATCAGGTCTTTTTGTCTGTGAGACTTGTAGAATAGCTGTAAAGTTAACAATTGCATTAAAAAATCATTCATTTCACTCAAGTACATCGTATTCATACAAAATTAAAAGGTATGACAAAACTATCAAAAATTTTCAGGGCATTGTTCCTACTATGCGTTTCTTTTTTTGAAGAGTATAGTTTCAGCTTTAGTATTCCTTTTGTTTTTAATTTTATCTAAAATTCTACTCATTCGTCGAAAAAAAAAGCCATACTACAGCACAAGTAGATACTTCTGTCTCCTTTGAAGAAAATGGGTTGCATAATGTGGTGGACGAATTTCCTTCAAGGGTAGGCCAGCCGAATCTAGCACTGGAAGATGTTAATCCGATTGAAGATCCGCAAATTATGGAGGACGAAAATCCTACAGGATGCGAAAGAATCATGGAGAAAAAGAAACCGAAGTCTTTGAAAAAGAATACTGAAGTTACGAACATTAGAGAGACAGAAAATATATATACTTTAGCATTTGCATCTTTTGGCAGTGTGATGATGGAAAAGTCGGTTCATGATTATTCTCCGCTTCAATTCAACTAACCCCCTTATGCCCGTGTAAATAAATTTACATTTGATAAGTGCTTATAAAAATCCAGATGCTGTGTTGCATCCCACAGTACATATTACTTAATTGCATACATTGAAATAAGCGTAATATTTAAATGCACTATCTGTATCTGCTCTTTTGTTGATTTGTTTTGAATGATGTAGTATATTTAAAACGCAATTCATCGACGATTAAATTCATATATGAGAACTGTTCGGAAATTATTGAGACAATGTGTACATTTTATCTTACTCATCAATGTTTTTCGGTATAAATCTGCATAAACGTACGTTTGCCAAACATCAGGAATTCATAAAAGCAAGATATAATTTACAAACACTACATTTCTCCTCTTCAGTGTTATATAAATGTGTCAATGGTAGGTGTTCCTGGTAAAGTCAGGAAATTATATATTGAACAAGAGGCCCATAGACCACATCGCTTACCTGAGCAAATGTGCTGCTTAAAAAAACAAAGCAGCTCAGTATTGATAAGTTTACTTGTTGGGGGAGGTGGGTAAATGTTCTATTACTTGAGAATGTCACTTTATCAATAAATGATACATGTATAGTCTGCCATACTTGAAAGATTTTTAAAGATTTTTCCAATATAACTTGATCCCCATTGACCCCCCCCCCCCTGGTTTTTATTTGAATGAATTTTAATCCTCACTACTTGCAGATGCTAACGTGTTATTTTGATTCAGCAAAACTTTTCTGTTCTTGAGGCGATTTTTCCTATATATTCTTGTCCAAAACATTGATCCTTCATTGTGGCCACACCCTAGGAGGGTCATGAATTGAACATACTTGAATTAACACCACCTGTGTATGCTTCCTTATTATGAGTTTCATCTTTCCTGGTTCTGGAGAAAAGTTTTCCCATATATTCCATTGTAAAATGTTGATCAGCCATTGTTGCCCGTCCTACCCTGGGGGTCATGATTTTTTACACTCTTAAATCTACACTACCTTAGAATATTTACACGTGAGTTTCATCCTTTCTGGGCCAATGGTTCTGGAGAAGATTTTAAAAGTTTCTCCAGTTGTATGCATGTACCTGTGTCAAATTCTTATCAGCCATTTATGGCCCCACCCGATCCCTGGGGGTAATAATTTAAACAAACTTGAATCTATACTACATGAGGATATTTAAACATGAATTTCAGTTTTCTTTACCCAATGGTTCTAGATAAGAAGATTTTTAAAAGATTTTTCCTATATATTCCTTTGTCTAACTTTAGTTAGTCATTGTGTCCCCAGCCCTACCCCCGTGACTGATAATTTGGAAAAAAAAAATGAAACTACACTACCTGAGGATGCTTTCACATTAGTTTCATCATTCCTAGTCCAATGGTTCTGGAGAAGATTTCTATAAGATATGGCGCCGTCTCAAAAATTGTCAAATTTTAGTCTTTGACACTATTTTAGATTTTGTTGGAAAAGCCCAAAATTATCATTTTTTGCCATTTTTTGTATATCTGCTCCAGATATTTCTTTTTTTCAGTCACGTAGATGAAAGTCAAACTCTAAAGTTACAAAACTGTTAACCATTTAGGTTGACCTTAGTTTTAATTACATAAATATATATGAATTTTAAGTTTTACTTAAAATATTTTATGTAAATTGGAATGCTCTGCGTGTAAGAGTTATCGCGCTTGCCATATCGTTGGAAAGTTTTTGCCGTGTCCAAATTAGGAGAGGCAGATGCAAGCGATTCTTGGAAATGAAAACATTTAGTAAACGCGCAATGAAAATCGTGCGCGGTAAAAATCAGGACCAGGTCGTTCAGATAGCGTCACCTTTCAGTTTCTTTTAGGACGCTGTGAAAAGTACAAGTGTGCGAGATAGCTTCAAATTATTTTAAGATCAATGCAGATAAATCATCGGTAGAGATAATATATTTGGTAAAATATTGCAAAATGTAAATTGCTAGTATTTCTCTTTGTCGGTTGTCATTTATTTAGTATAACATCCATGAACATCTTGAACACTTAAGAGAGTGGTCATGCTTTATCGTCGTACATTGCTTTAAAGATCGAAAAACTGTGATGTTGTTACAGTCATATCAGAGATTTTTCCCTATTAATGTCCGAAAATAATTTGGCAATGTCATCTTTCTTTTAATTACCAAATTTTTTTTACAAAGAAAAAATTCAGCAAACAAAACAAATATTTTGCAATACATTAATTCTCAAATTCTGACGTTCAAGGAACAATGATTGATCAAAAAGAGAAGGAAATGGGAAAAAATAGTTAAGTTTAAAATCCTTTAAATAGGGAAATCAACACGCTAAAATGGATATTTTTTGATATTTAAATGAGAATTGTAATTTTTTATGTAGAAACTTATGTTGCCTTTTAAAGTTTGTTTTCATTTCTATATATAGGCACACATGTATATGTGTATTACCCTCTTCAGTCATAATTTTAACTGCAAGGATGGATTTACAAATGCATTTCAAATTATTTGACGGACTTAAACCGATTACAATTTTTCAGATAAAGTCGTTTATCATTTTGTATGTTACCTTTCTTGTCATAATAGAGGGCTGTCAAACGTGAGTTCCTTATGAAATCTTGTTGTTTGTCAATGAACATAACAAGTGTAAACAAAAAGTGCAAATTTAGTTTTTAGAAATAATGGTTTGTTTAACAGGGAGCATAAGGGAGGAATTTGCACATGTCATGGGTATTTTTTCGACGAGAAAGCAAATATTTGCAAAGGTAATTCATTTCATTTTTCAAAATGCATAAGATTTCCTTTATTTAAAACCATTCTTTAGGTTGTTTTTGTACATTTTTATTCAATTAATATTTACAAGCAAAAGTAAAACATTTCACTCAAGGACCTAAATCCTCATAGATACTTTTATGTGTAGTCAGATTGCGTTCTTTCTGTATTTGTAGAATGTCTGGCTGGATATTTTGGTCGGAATTGCTTACGTAGGTGTCGGTATCCGGGGTATGGAGAACAATGTCAAGGGGAATGCTTATGTACCACAGAATATTGCGATTATCGGAGTGGTTGTGTCAACATCATAGGTAAATTACTTAAAAAATGTTATACGATCTGCTATAGAGTTCATGATTTAATTGTATTAAAGGTGATTTTTTTTTTTTTAAATAAAGCATTAGTGCAATCCCGCATTAAATTAGACATCATATCTAATTAATTAATAAATTAAAATTAATCATGAAATATTGCAAAACAATGAATATTTTTCCTTGTCTTTTATTTTAGAAAATAAAACATATATCAGAGCATGGGATTTCTCTCGCAAAACCGGAAGTCGAATTTCTATTTCCATGTTTATAAAAATCTTTATAATAATAACAGCAGGAATTATATTCCTTTTCTTGCTAATTTTAACAAGAATGATGATAATTCATCGAAAAACAAAGAATACTTTGACGAAGGCAAATATTTCCAACACCATTGAAGGGAATGATCGAAATACAATGGATGATGATGTGATTTCTCTGCAAGTACATGGACGTAACAAGAAAAGAAATAAAGGCACTGGTACCAACAATACAGGGGTGTTTAAAATAATGCAAACAGATACTGTAAAGACACACTCGTATTCAACTTTTGCAAGCATTAGAAATGAAATGTTGGGTGATTATGCTTTTCAAGATTATAGACGTTATTAAAACTAATTTCTGTCTGTACATGTATCATTAAATTCTATTCAATGTTATATGATGAGGTGTTAAGAAATAGAAATAAGAAATACATGTAAGGTACCCTTCATTCTTTTTATAATAGAAAGAATAATAGTGTCCATATTTTGCTATGGAAAGCCCAAAAATATGCGTACAATGAAAAACAAAAAAAAGGCCACAATTTAACAAAGATTCTGTATAAGTCTAGTCAAATAACATCCCGTAATATAAGAGGAGCTATGGAGATAGACATCCAAAGATCTAGAAAGAGACGTACGGTCGTACATGTACAGACAGAAGGGCGGACGGAGGTACCGATAAATGGCCGGACGGAGAGACATCCAAAGAGTTTATGCGTTTTTAAGGGAGTACTGTAAATCACGTTTTATTCGCGAGAACTTTATTTTCGCGTAAATACGCGAGACAATGAGGTCGCGAAAATTTCATTCTCGCGTTTAATAGTATTCCTTATGATTATATAGAGGAAAAACAACAATTCGTGAAAATTATGTCTCGCTAATAAAGAGTCAATGACTATCTCGCGAAAATAAGGTGTCGCGAAAATTTAGTGATCTACAGTATTCTGTTACTTTTGATTTAATCAAACCTGCATCTTTACTTTATTTTAGAAGATTTCCATACAAAAGTTATTATTATTTCCCTAAAGACTGTATTTATATATTCTTAAACAGAATGCATTTTATGAATATATTAACAAAAATAGTTTTTAAAAGTGTAAAATTGCCATGGTATTTGTTCATATTTTGAGTGAGTCAAACGAACACAATTCTCATGTGTTATCAATGGATAAATCTAAATTCTGTTTATGAAATTGTGATACGTGTACAGTATTTGATATATTTTACACGTATATAACCGAATTTTCTTTTGATTGTACTGCAAAATACAGAAAGAAAAGTAGTGAAAAAAGGAATCCTTGTTCATTGAAGAAATGAAATGGAATCCTGTTTGTGCATTTTCCATTTAATTTAAAAAGTAAACTAAATCAGATGATCACTTAATGTTTTAACTCTGATTGTCAAAATATACTTAAACACCTCAGGAATAATTGGACATTTAAAATATTTAAATTTCAAAATCTGTTATCCTTCATAAGCCCCTTACAAGAAATATCTTTAATCTATTTTAGCCAAAATGAATTTTTTTCAATGCATTCATGGTACGGTTAAACATTTAACATCTTTACATGAACGCAATTATAATAATAATAATAATAATAATAGAAGGACAATTACATGCTTGAACAAAGCTTTTCAATTAATATTTATACATTTTAATCACACCGTTTTTTGTTATATTTATATCATGTTTATAACTTCCGGCTCGATTTTTTGTCGTTAAGGAAGTGCAAAATATATAGGTTTATCTCACACTGGTTAACAGCTAAAAAACTGGGTTTTTTTAACTTCCTTATTTAAAAACATACCACTCGAAAGGATGTCCGTTTTATTCTGCGATTCCAAAAAGTCTTGTTTACAAGTTGTTATCTTATGAAGAGGAAGTAATAATGTAACTGAAGGTATTAGTTGTTTCGATTGATAAATTTATTTTTATATATGTTTTGATTGATTTGATAAACATTTACGTCCTTTTAACTTAATTTTCGTATGCGACGAATAAGACATTAATAATGAGACATTATACATACATATTATATTGAGGGCAATATTTTATCTTTATGAGGCAAATAACAAAGCCCCAATCGATATTTAACGAGATTTTATATAAATTAAAACACCTTTTCATTAGATGTCTTAATTATAACTGACGCTTTTTTATTCGTTTAGTGTCGTTTTCAGAATTTTAACACAACTGAAGTTCTAACACTCCTTCAGCAGTGAGGGATCGTGTTCGTTCCGTCACCATTTCGACACGGAACATACGCCCTATTCAAAAGGACTCTTCCACACAGTGAATTTGAACCCGATCGGTGTGAAGTAAGTCCTCACTTGGATAATCTGGAGCAAATGCTCAAACCAATGGTTAGCTATCTTTGTTTAGGTGCGATTTCTTAGATGTAATAATAAGTTGAAAAAGAAATATGTCAGTGTACATGTAGATGTATTGACATTGATTTTAATATTGAAGGTTCTTTGTAAACAATACCTTTTTAGCATTGCAGAACCATGGGTGTTTTAATGCTCACACTGCTGTTTTTCTTTGTGAGGAATTCTAATGAGGACGAGACTGTTAACGTCGGAGTTGTTATAAGGCTCACACAGAAAGGCCTTACGTACGGTATAATTCACGGCCTCACTTTCTTGTTGTTAGTTTTGTTGATCGGTTAGAGGAATAAGCCTTTAAAAATAATGATATTCAAATTTTTCCTGTTCTGAGGAATTATAAATTACAGCAATTATTAAGGTATTGATTAATTTTACTACTGATAAAATATTGGAAAATTACACCAATTCTATTTTGTATTTTATTTTTTCAATCATGAATCAATTTTAAAATTTGACCATCATTTTTTTTCAGCCATGAATACAGTTTTGGAGTCTGTTAAGAAACTGAATCTGTCAGCATTCAGCATACCTACAGCAAATGTGACTACAAGCAATGTCAGCTATTCGATTCAAAAGTAGAGTAACCGTTCCTTTTATTTTTTTTTTTCATTTTATTTTTGATCTAAGTATTAATTTTCATTACAGCATTGGCAATACAACTTAAAACACGCCTTTTCTGTTTTCTTAAAACTATCAGAAACATATTTTTTTTTTTACATTTACACTTTGAATGATCTTTTAAGAATTGTTTTCCATATTTATGTATATTAATTTCTTATTTTCAGTTCTAAGTATTCTAACAATGACCACTTTAAGATTATCATAAATTTTATATTAGAAAATTAGAAATTCTATATACAATAATTAATATTATTTTTATTGTGCAGACTAATATATACAGATTATGCTAATTTGAATGCATCGATTCTTATAAATGAAAAACCTGGATTGAATGTTACTGTCCATAGTCTTTCGGTAAACGCTACTGGAGAAGTGGAGTGTCAAGATAAGGATGAGAGGTAATTCCTTGTTCTTTTTTAATGAAATTTATGGAGATAGCGAACAGTATTCGATTTCAGGAGTCAATTTAAACATAACAAATCTTGACCAAGCAAACACGGACCTCTGAAACATCAGAGGTGAGATCAGCTGACCAAACACACCTGCCTATGCTCTCTGTCATTATCGAGAGTCGCCCGCGTGGTGAAATGGTTAATGCTTCTGTTTTAGAGTCGCGAAGTAAGGATTCGATGTGAAAAGTCGCAGGTTCGAATCCCACTATAGAGGGTGGAGACTGGTCATTTAAATGAGACCGTATAAAACGAGGTCATGTGTCGTAGTATGTGCTGGCACAAAGTAAATTCCTTACTGCTCAATAGCCCTAAGTGCCTTGTATAGGACATAATATGTTGCCCTACACCTGCAAGTGGTGTCATCTCCATATGAGCAAAAAATCTTCTTCAGAGGGTTATTAAGGACGTTCAATCCTGAGATATTGAGTTGATTTTGGTCATGCCCTTTCTTTATAAAATTCTGCATCATTTTTCAGTTAAATTATTAAATCTGAATTCTACAATGCAAATTGAACTATATTCAATGAAAAAACCGCGATTAAATTCCATTCAAGTAGAATTAAGCTAGGGACTACATTTTGTGGTGGAAGCTTTCATAGACGAAAATGATCAGTTTTCCCCCTTTTGAACTATAACAGTGCTGTTAATTTTGGATTCCTATTTTTCCATGCTTGTAACACAGAAAGCTGTTTTTGCAGTGAAATGTGTTATGCTGGCTCTGAAATATCTATTAAATCATTTCTTATGAATTCTATCAACAACGTGGGACAAATATAGTAAATATATTCTGAAAATCTGGGAAAAAATTGATCCAATTTTAACATAAAATTGACACCTTTTTTTAGTAATATCTGAAAATTTACATCATATACCCCCACTTTTGAAGTTCTTTTCTAAATATTCAAGATAACTTTGACCTATTTGCTTAAAATCAGAAAAAAAGTTTTAGACTTTAAAATAATTTTCTAGCTTATCAAATTTTCAATGCCAGAAAAATCACATTTTAATAGTGCAGAAAGGTCAAATAATTGATTATGCGTAGCAATTTGCATATTTTTCTTAATCACAATTTTAAAGTGTCTCTTTTTCAAGCAGACTAAGAGTTCATTTTGTTTCATGCTTTAATTGGATAAAAATATTGGAGGGAAAACGTCGAAGATATAATTTTTGATTAGACACAAATTTCAGTGCAAAAAGATCATATTAAATCTACTGTAGCACCAAAAGAAGCATATTTACCCCATTTTTAAATCTGAATTTAAATTATGCTATGTATATAGAAACTAAAAATATACTTGTTAAAAAAAGTTTAAGACTTTAAATATCAGGATCGAACGTCGTTAAATAACATACAATCAATCACTACATCTTGATTAAGAAATAACAAAAATATCCGTAGACAATCTAAGGTAAAATAGAGTAATATGGACAGTTTTGTAAACGTCTAAAGTATGAACTAAAATAAAGGTAAATCCTGGATTTTCAAAAAAATCTTTTCAGATTGTTTTGATTTATCTTTTAAGATTTATTTTAATTGGTGGTTTGCATGGTATGGAAAAAAGGATATTGTTCGGGTTTTTTGTTGTTTAAATCGTGCCAGGTACTCTTTTGCATAAGACGTTGACGGTAATGGTTGCGGAAAAATAAACTTTATATGAGATGTATCTTTATAGGTGGACTTCGTTGATAGCGACGTCAGTGCTATCATATTCTACCAGGAAGAATTTGATAATTAATCCTGTATATTTCTAAATATATGAAAATTATTCATTATTGCAAAATTTAACGAGAAGAAACACTCACGAAGCAAATTACTCGGTTTTATTTTTATGATACGAAAACCAATGTGAATAAAAATAAATCAGTTGCAAATCATTGTTTTTGCGATTTGACGTAGGAGAGTCATTTCGCGATGGAAAGCACTTGCGAATATTAAATATTATCATACCATATTATGAATATTCCACACAACGCATTATCTAACTGGTTCTAGGTTTTCACGTGATGGGGCCGTAAAACTTCATATTTCACGGCCGTCGGCATGCTTTTCATCATATTCACTTCTTCGGATACTTAGTGCATTGTGCCAAAGGGTTTTAGTATTTTTACGTTTAAAAAAGAAAGTGAATTTGAGAACTGTGCCGAATTAGAAAGTTTATGCTTATTTTGAAGGCTTTGCTTGTTCCGATATAATAAACGATTCATTGCATGAATGTTGGAGAAACATGAAGACTTATTCAGCCAAGAAAAATAATATTCCCCTAAGTTTCACTTATTCAGCCAAGAAATATCATATTTTGATTGTTATACTTGACTTTTCTTGGCTGAATAAGACTTCATATTTCCCTCACCATCATGCAATAATCTACAGTATCAGGATATATATTACGATAATGATGTTTACTGCAGGTCCATGTTCATTGTTCATCGTATTTATTAATTGTTTACTTTCAATGAATAATTCAATAGCACACATATTGCGTCAACATTTTACAGTGTTACAAAGTCACAAAAAATAGATACTAAAGTCAATATGAGTTTTCTAAAATATACAAAAAATATAGCTATTGGTCTATCCATAAAAGTAAAGCAATCACCATTAAGTTGTCATCAAATACAATTTAAACAAGTGTATGATTATTTTTCCTTCAGAAATGTTCAGCATTGTAGAATTGAAATGACAATCTCTGGATCGGGACATTTCCTCGCGATAATAGGTAAAAAAAATATGTTTTTTTTTTAAATCTTTTATTAAAATCATAAAAGGTTCAAACATATCACAATATCAATATTAACACAAAAAATCAGCTAAATCATGATAAATATTTCTTCTAATCTGACCAGTTTTCCTAAGTACATCATTTTGAATATGAAGCATAGATTTCAGTCTATGCAGGAGATTTTTCTCTGAGAATATTTCATTTTGTAGTATACATTTTATCTTATATTTATACATAATAAGGCTAATAAATGCTATCAAATTATTAAAAAGCAAATTTTTCCAGTAAAATTAATTTCCAAGTAATGTCATATTTTAGAAAAATACCCACTTTTTCGCATATAGGTTTAATAATTTTACAATCAAACAATGAATGTTTCATATCATCTTCAATTTTACAATTTTCACATAAAGGAAAAATATCTTTGTTCCATTTGCTTACAGCGACATTGTTATTCAAAATACTATGTAATAATTCATAATTAAATTCTGATATTCTCTTCTCATATACGAGGGTTGTCCCGTAAAATCTTGGACAAAGCATTTTTCTCGAAAAATAATGGACGTAATAAGCTGAAATTTTCAGTGAATGCTTATCTATCATATTAAAGTTAATTATAATGTTTAGGATAAAATATACACAAAAATATAGATTTTATAATTCTTGAATGTGTATAGGGTAAGGCCCTACGGCGCACGGTCAAAAAACGAAGGTTTTATAAGAGAATACAGGAGTATTGATTAGAAACAAAAGATTTAAATATTTAAGATTTAGGGTAAAAATTATCCTTATGCAATTCCACAGCTTATTTTGTTGTCTTCATAAAATTTTCAATGCATTTGGTCAATTTTTGACAGTTTCCTGAACATTTGAAATTGGAAAATGGTAAACACAACACACGAAAAATGGTGACGTTTGGTAACGTTACGGCACACCAGAGATCAGTTTGCTATGATTTAGATGGTGTATTAACGCCTTATAAAATTTTAAATGAATTGGAAGAGAAAAAAATCCCCCTTCAAAAATGCAAAATCTTTAGTATATGAATAAGACGGGAGTTTTTTGAGCAAAGTCTTTCTTGATCGAGTCCCGAGGTAGTACAAGACATGCAGACAAATTTACAACTGTAATGTCTAAAGACGTTGTCAATATTGACCGCGTCAATATAAGATTGTCTATTACTTGAATGATGTTGGAATATTGTCCGTATCTTACTAATAAATAATCAGAAGATCGTACATTTATGCCAGATTGGTTCCTCAGTTGATTATGGAGACTTAAGTATGTGTTTCAATGAAATTTCGAAATTTAAGTGGGACTTATTCAACTTTAGTTTTAGTGCAAAAATGAAACGAGGTACCAGACGCTGTTTTAGGCACTTTGACGTTATCATCCGTGCGCCGTAAGGCGATACAATACATAATATTTAATCTCATAATTCCTTTCTTTATGCATATATCTATTTGAAATTAGCTATATTTATTCAGAAAATATGTGCTAAGAAGAAGTGAAAATTTCAGAACGCAGTGATAATTATTATTCATGCAAGACAACTTGTGGATGATTTTACGGGACAACCCTCGTACATTTAAGATCTTGTGTCTATAAATATATTTCCATATACAAACACCCTGAATATTAAATGTGTTTGTCCATTTCTTTTCCAACAAAGGTTTTTGAAATTTCATATCAATAAAAATTGAGTGGTAAAAATTTCTTCTTATCTCTCGTATTGATTTTACAACATTATGTTTAAATAAAAAATGTACATTTGGTTTTACATTCACATATTTCGCATAACAGTCAAAATTTTGTTTATAATCTCTAACAGCTTTTTTACGCATAAAATATTCACATAATATATTATTCTTTCTATTCAATTTGTTATAGAAATAACTAATATCATACTTTTCACCTGATTCGTCAAATATATCTTTAATATATAAAACTTTGCTTTTTATTCACTCTTTGAAACACATGGGTTTTAAATTAAAATGAAAACAAGTATTATTCCATAAAAATTCATTTAAGAACTGGTCTCTATTTAAATTATTAACATTTCTTTGCATTTTACATCTGTTAAATTCTGCGAATACATTGCCGTAAAATTTCGGCAGATTTAACATTTTGAAAAACTCGGATTCAAAGTTACACTCCGTAGTTTTGATAATATCAAATACTGTAATATTGTGTTGTTGCAAAATACCTTTGAGAACCCAGTGTGTAACACTTTCAATATTAACTATTCTGCTAATGCACGACGCCTTCGCGGCATGAAATTTGCTTTCAACATCAATGATTCCAATTCCACCGTTCTCAACATTACCAATAAGAGTATTTCTTTTAATCCTATCTCTTTTCTTCCAAATAAAATTATATATGACCTTTGAAACATTTTGATAAAGTCGACATTTGGATTTTGTAAAACGAAGGCATTATATGATATCTAAGAAAATATGTTAAATCATAAACTATTTGGCTCATGGTTCAAATTGATATAAGCATTATCATGCTATAAAAATTGGCTTCATCCCTTTTACTAGACGAACCTTAAAGATTATGTGGCCTCTTAAATGGTGAAAACTCAATGTGAGATGTGTTGGCTGCAAAAGTGATCTCTTTTATTAAAATGATGTTTCCCAAAGCATTTTTCAAATAAACCTTTCCTTAAAAAATGCTAGAAAACATTTTTAAAAAATACTGGCAACAAACAAACACCTTAGCGACATTCCATTTAATTTTTTTTTTAACTTTTAATTAAAATTCATCAACCAGATTTCATCTTATACAAAAGGTATTAACAAAATGCTGTGGGGTTATTCAAATACGCTACTAAGATTAAAGTTTAAAACCCCGTCATCATTTTTTTTTAAGATCTTGCCCTATGTGTTTTTGAGCCAAATTACAGATTTCATGTACATTAATATTGAATCCAAGATCAAATATCTAGGCCAGCTTATTTATGGTATGCCTTTGAATAAATATTCTTTTAAAGATATTAATGATGATTATATTATACCGGATGATCTTTCAAAAATCTTAACATATAACATACTACCTTCTGCGAAGGCTTTCTTTTTAAATAAGTCTGCCGTAATCCAATAAGATGAATTTTGACTTTGTATTGTTAAGAGGATTATTTAAAATATTGAAGGGACAAATAGACAGGGGAGATTTAATGTGTCGATGAATCAAGAAGAGGGCAGTTGCATCATTCCGTTACCTGATCTAAAGATATGGTTCACAGATTGTGATAAACCCGCAGAATCCATATGTGCAACAGATTTGTTGGAACTTGAAGAACAATTTAAAAAGGAACGACTTACTCAGAAAAAGGTAACGTGTTCTTTTTACTAAATAACTATATTTTGCAGTGTGGTTGCTTTCATTCAAATTATTGATATTACAAATAAAAACAATGTGTGACCAAAAACAAACCTGAAGCGTTTCTTTTGAAAAAATAAGTTACTGTAGTGCAAGCAACATATAAGCAGCAGAATATCTGATTTAACACTCCATTTGAGACCTAAATGAGACATTAAAAATAAAAATGCTAAAATGCTTGGGCTGTCAAGTGATTTTCAGCAAATGTAGTCCAGAGTGCAACAACAATGAACAGATACTGTGATATTTTTCAATTGTTTTTTTTTATTTTTCGGATACGTTTTGATTTATTTTCCAGTTATGTTTCTTAGCACGGTTCTATTTTTTTGCAAGAGGCGATGCAGAAATGAACACAATTATTTGTAAGTGTTTTTACTTGTTTTTTTCACGTT